TGTCTTCAACTGATTCATTAGAGATCTCATTATGGTGGGTAATGTAAGTCTCCTCTTTTCAAATTCCCATTCCCAAGCTATACCTCCTCACGTTCAAATTCTCTGACCTTGAACTGCTGTGTCTGTGATCTGCTTTTTCTCCATCATATTTCACTCAACATAGCTGTGATTTTAATTCTATCATCTAATTTTTTCTAGGCTAAAACACCTCTCCCTTTTAAGTCTAACTGCCAGACTTATACTCTAGCCTCTTCTTTCCAATCAGTCTTACTTCAGTTTCTGTTCTTTCATCCTATCTCCTCCAGATTAACTTTTACAAATTCTATTGGAATCCAAATTAATATTTTTCTGCATATCAAAAAAAAAAACTCCCAAATTTACATATTTCACTCTATTCACTTTCTTGACCTGAAGTGAATTCCCAATGGCCTGGCAATTGACTTTTAGTATTAATATGTCCAATCTTAACTCAGAATTTTTCCTCCTAATCCTTCTTTTATTGCCTTCCCAAAGGAGTGCTTGGGTAGTGCCAAAGGTTAAAGCACTAGGCTACTAACTGAAAGGTTGGCAGTTAGAATCCACACAGAGGCACCTCAGATAAAAAGCCTGGTGATCCACTTGTGAAAAATCAACCACTGAAAACCATATAGGGTGCAGTTCTACGCTGACACACATGAGGTTGCCATGAGTTGGAATCAACTAAGATGGTAACTGGAAATCTTTGCTAATTACATCATCTGCCAAAGTCCCCAACAACTGCAATGTTTCTGCCACTAGCCCTCAGCTCATTTAGTTCTAACAACTTTAGAATCAACTTTGGTTCTTTACATTCCTTTGTCCCCACAACACTGACCCCCAAGGAGTTTTCAAGTAGCGTCAGTCTACCTCCAGAATGTGTCTTGCATTTCCTGCCCTTCCCTATCCCCTTTAATTTCTACTGGCATTATGCTTGCTCCTTCAGGCTGTTATGTCCTAGAGCTACAGTCTCCTAATGATCTTTCCACCTTTTAGCTCAAATTCAATAAACTCTAAATACTGCTTCCTAATTAATTTTAAGATAGAATAATTCCATGTCACAGCTCTGTTAAACATCAATCATGCCCACTGCATATATACAAAATATCCACACTTTTAAGTATGGACTTCAAGATCCTCCACATTGCACTCAAAAATACCTTTCCAGGATTATATTTAACTATTTTGCTCACTATCCTGATCTCCTGCCAGCTGGGCTACTAGCCGCATTCCAAAAAAGTCCTACATTTTGTCTTATCAATTCCTTTACTCATATTGTCCTTCAGCCTATAATTTCCTACCCTCTATATCACAGATGTTTAACTACTACATCCATTCTTCAAATTCTAACCCAATACCACCATTTAGTTATAGCTTTTCTAATCCTCCCCTTTATGGAGGACACCTACGGTAGAGACCGATGACTTTCCCTTATTATTCATTTTCCTTCTTGAGTTTTACTAGGAACATTGCTACCCACCCAAAATATGTTTCCCATCTTCCCTTGTCATGTGACCCAATTTGAGCTACTGACATATATAAGCAGAATGGAGGTGTACAACTACTGAAACATCTCCTTACTTGGATTTTCTCCCCTCATCTTTCTTTTAAAAAATGGTGATGACTAGAGAAATATTGGAAGCCCACGTTGAGGATGACAGAGCTGCCCCACCAACCTTGGACTGTTCTCCTCGGCACTATGAAGTAAGAGGAAACAAAAACTTTTTTTTTCTGATTCAAGACACTGTATTTTGAGCTGTCTTGTTAGAGCAGCTTAACCAGTACCTGAATGGCCAGGTAGCTCCCTCTTTTCTTCAGACCAATAACACTTAGAGTGTCAAATCATACTCAGTATAGCCTCGTTTCTTCAATATAAATAAATTAGTGCACATATTTCCCTTCTTTTATTAGATTGTAAATAAGTACATGCAAATACAGTTTCTGATTTATCCTTGTGTCCACTACAATTTCTAGCACAAGGCTTTAAACCTAGTGGGCATTTAAAACCTATTTGAATTATTATAATGTTCTTAATTCTCCTTTCTTTCTTCTTTAATTTCTGGCTAAACATTTCAGTTGAGTACCCTCCTATTTCTCTACCTGTAATTCCTCCTTTACCTTAGCTTCCATCTCTGCAAAATTCTTTCTTGTTGTTGAATCCACTGTCTTTTTCCTCAAGTCTATTTTTTAAAACATTTTGCAGCTTCTAATAATGTTATTATTGGATACCGGGCCTTTGATATCTTCTAACTTTGTCACTGCCACTCCTACCTCTCTACTCTGTGCCCCACTAACACAGCATCCTCCCCGACCCAGTCTTGTGTTTCAGTTCTCTCCTATCTCTTCAATCACCTAACACACTCATGGCTTAAGCTTTATGCTGATAATTACAAAACCCTCTCAATTTCCAACCATAAATTCTCACTCAATGTATTTTCAGCCTTTTGGGTAAATTCCTACTTGAGCAGCACATTATCAACTGATA